TCTCTTTCACTAGAATCTCTCACGTAGTAATGCTATTGTCTATATGATATTTTCCTATTGAAATTTAAACCATTTGGAATCTTCTTCATCAACATATGATTCATCTAAAAGTTGCCACAAATTAATTGAGCTATTAACATTCATTCGACAAAAATGCTCTTTCATTAGTCAAATAATATAAAACACGATATAATGAAAAACTCTTTTCAAATTTATCAATAGTTGATGAAAAATATCAATTTCGTTTACAATAATATACAAAATAAACGACTGCAATCGAATAAGTTAAAGATGAACATTCATATGAATTAAACTTATTTATTATGAATTGCAACTCGACTAGCATATACATCACAAAATTCTTATTTATTATATACTTTGACTTCTGATTCAATATTACAACAATGTCTAAAATATTTTCAGATTGAATTTGGATTATTCTTTTCGAATATGTTTCTACAATCTGATCAAAAAAGATAATATATGATCCAAATTTAATAATTCGAACAAAACAAGAATATAGCATATTCGAAAAAATTCGATATTTAACTTAGTTAGTCCGATATAAATATGAAAACAGTGGTATTTGGAGAAAAATTTAATTAAACTTGATAATATGTTTATAAAAGTTTTTCTTCTAAATAGAATAAAATACAATTCATATAATTTGTTACTTTGAAAATTTATTTCAAGAATATTAATTATATGATATGTGACTATGTGTAATTTAACTTGATTGAATAATCTGTAAGAAAGTATAGTCTTTTTTTTTCGGATTGATGTTTTCTATTAAATTAGAAATTGATGATTGACTTAATTAATATTTTTTCTACAACTAATTGATTTAGATAATAAAATACATCTTAAAAAAATAGATGTAGAATTTGAAAGAAAAATGCATAATTATGGATGTATTGAAAGATCAGGTATTTTTATTGCAGCTAAAATCTTAGAAATAGTTGATATTCATAATGAGAGAGATATTTCAATAATTTTTCGTCATTTATCAGCATTATCTGTGGACTTTATTTGATTGTTTTTTGTTTTCAAAATTATGTTATTACATAAATAATTTTATTCTTTAAAGCTATTCCCCTCTCCTCTTCAAAAATCGGTCTATATACTTCATTTTTGTGTACTCAAAAAGTGAGTACACTCTAGAATCGGTCAGTGTGTCCGGCCGTCCGTTTACACGATAACTTTTGAAAGGAGAATCAGATCGCGATGAAATTTTCTACACAGTTCAGTCTTAACAATATCTCGGTCGAGTTCGAAGATGAGAAGGATTGGCCGAACCATTGCTGAGTTATTGCAAAAATAGTCATTTTTCCCTATGAGAAGATAGACCCTTCTCTGTTTTCATAAAAAACTTTTCCTATCATAGTCAAATAAAACCCCAACTATTATATACCATTCGATAGAGAATTTCACGAGCTACAAAATGGTATATGAAACATAAAGAAACAAGAAAGCTAACTCGCCTATTCCAAAGATAATTAATCGAAATTCGGTTCTGTTTTTGTCCACGCTCTATATGATCCACAATTAGAGCTCTATCTTCCCATCACAGAGATGACAGTTCGAGGTTTTCTAGAATGGAGAACTCCAATCTATGTTCCATTCGCCTCGACATCCCATTGGTTGAGCATTAACCAATAGAAATCAAGTTATAGGAAAAACGAGTTTCTTAGGGTAAATCAAGGTGAAGAGTTCAAATCTGAGCTGTATTTGCCTCCAAATCGTATTGGTTGAGCAATAGCCAATAGAAATCAAGTGTTTACGGAAAGGGTTTGCCAGGACAATTTTGATGTCCACACATTCTAAGATGACTCATCTGTCTCATTCACTTTTTGAAGTACACATAACTCTCGGATTTAAATCCGAGGTTTCCACATTTATTTTTGTTTGAAAATGCATATCAGAATGCAGGACATAACACAGCTCTTTTGTCAAATTCTTACTTTTTAAATCGAAAAAAGGAATGAAAAGTTCAATGTCTCAAAAAAACTCGCAAAAAATGACGGTCAGATTATAAAAGTACTCTTTTTTTTTTACTAATAGTAACAAGGTTTAATTCAAGAAAGGAATTCTGTCATGCTCTGCATCGTGGTATACTCTTTCATACGAAAAAAATTCAATATATAGAATGAAAACTCTCAAGGAGTTCTAAGTTTTAAAAAATCATGTCATCTATGAAAGATCAGATTTCGTACTATGTTCTTTTTCTCAATTTTAATAATTCTGATGAAAATTGACTGTCTTTGAAGGAAGGAGTGACCTTATTTAAAAAGAACCAAACATGCAACATGACATGGAATGAATGATACAAAATTAAAATGAAATTACATATGATTATTGTAAAATTAAAAGTAAGATGAATAAATATCAACGCATACATGCGGCGTGGGTGAAGACGAATCACATACTTACACCCACATCTATATCTATATAGTGTAGAGAAACGCAAAGAACAGGTAAAAGAACGGATATAGTAGACTAAATTTGTTACATTGCCTGCACTTTTTCATTTTCATATTTCTATTTTTTCGTTCTGTTTCTAAATGATGACTAAAAACAAAATAAAATATAAAATTGATTTCTGTTCTATACGTGAATCATTCAATTACTGAGTAATAGTAAACATATATAAAGTAGGTAAATAATCAGAAAATTTATTAGTGTCAATCATATTTTAATACTCGATAGGTACTGAGCAATTGTTTTCAGAATTTACTTTGCACACCATCGGTGGTATTAGTCCTTTCATCGACGATTCATCCAAATTTAGGTAAGTTATCGAAGTAGAAACTCATGCTACAGTATGAATAGGCATTACTCTACTTTTTTCTCCATTGAAATCGTGAGCTGTTAGTGTAAAAACTTGCTGTAACACTTCCAATTTAAGGTACTTTTAAAATTCCGAATAAAGAAGTAGTAAAAAAAGGGTGGATGCGGGTAGCAATTTCCTCTACACTCAGATCCATTGACTCAGACTTTACTTTCACCGTTACACTCACTCTTACTAATCAGATTTCAGAGTGATTTTCTCTTCAGCAAATCAGATTTTTAGAACGAACGTCTATCGAAATATACAGAAAATGTCTGATTAATTGAAAGAAGTTAGTAGTAAAATCCGATTAGCTGAAAGAAAAGCCAATGAATCTCTGATTAGGTGGAAACATGTCATGAAAACACTAGCAGAACGGTTACCGTTTCATAGCAGTTATGGGTTTCAATCGATGGATCGGCAACAGTGAATCGATGAACAATCGTCATTGTTGAATCCCTACTAGTACTGCATCGATCACAATAAAAAAAAAGATCACCTTCGCATGTACCAACAACATGTGACGCTATATTATTTTACACTACTTTGGATTGCCCGAACTATGCAGAACACAATATCAGTCGTGTCCCGTTTGATCGTTCACTAGTCTATAGATTTCTGACGATTCACAATAGCATAGAACAGAATTTTGATGCTACGACTTGTTTTATTTATTTCAGTTCGCTCATCGAACACCGAGCATTCGTTCTCAATTTATCCGGGTATATTTAATTTCATTTAAACAAACTCTTTCAACAATTTTATTAAACACAATCGTGTAATTTCGATGCAAAAGTCATCAAAAATAATTGATCCAAACCAAATCTCACATAATCTATTCACATCGTTGACTAATCTTCGTCAAGAGATCTTACAACATGAATCAAGCACGGATATTAATCATATCGATTCAAAAGTTCTATCCTGTATTGAATCAGTCTTGACTTCAATAAAACCTCTTCGTTATATCGAGAGTCCAAAAGTATTGTCGGACATAATTCATATTATATGGAAAACGTACATCGCTGACTTTCTTTCATTAACTGAGTTTGTTAATATTCTTGCCAATGATCAATTTCAACAAATATTTAACTCCGTTATGAAAGTGTACACATCTATAAACTTTCAATCCATTTTCAGAGATGATACGTCTTATGCTTATGATATGTTCTATCGTATCTTCGAACTAATGTCACTTCCAGCCATTACGACTCTTCTTAAAAACCAATCTAATGATCAAATTATGTCACATACAGCTAACATCTTGCGCATATTTCTACTTCAAATGCAAAATATTGCAGAAGAAATCTCATTCAAAAAAGATGATTTACTTAATCAAGAATCGACCATTCAGCTTCTATTAGAATACGTAGATATAAATTTATTTGAGACTGATAATGATATTCAACTCACGATCGTTGAAATATTGGAATTCATTTGGACATTGGTCGATTATACTATACTGGTACCACAATTACTTAATGCGAATTGCGTTTCGTTCACACTCAAATGGATCAACACCAACGAATTGTCACTTGTTATTCAACGAGCTACTATTCGACTCTTATACAATATCGCACGACATGAAAAAGGATGTGATGCATTGAATGGAGCCGATGCCATTCGTCTACTGAAAGAATTCAAACAACGAACTTTAGATCCAACTATTGATGATGCAGCCTATGAAGACATGCGTTTACTCTTTTCCATGACATTAGCATTGTTGATGGAACCGAAGGAAAACGAAAGCAATGCTAAATCACTTAGAAAAGTACTCGATCAATTGATGCAGTTAACTGTCAATGCAGCACGAAAAAAAAATCACAAATATGGTGATTTTTATATCAGTGAACCATTAGTAGTTTTCACAAAACTCTTTGTTCATGATGACATTGTACACTATTGTATCAAGGAATCTCAAGTCAAAAATATGAAAATATCTTCGAAAGTCGCGTTCTTTTGTGATTTAATGATGCAATTTCGAGGTGCTCTCGTTAATGATGACGAGCTCGACCAATTAACTCTCACAGCACTGATGAATATTATTTGGAGTATTTCATTTCATCATGATTATGTCGACGAACTCAAATCGAATGCGAAGTTTCTCATCACTATCAAAAGTCTCGCCAATGACGATGGAGAAGCTTGGATTGAACAATATGTACCAAAACACATGTCATCGGTGAAAAAAGCAGCTGCCCGCATTTTGTGGAATCTCGACGAAAGTAGTCCAGGTTAGAAAGCTAATGCATTTATTGATATTGTCTTCATCTTGATCTATTCTATTTTGAGTTCAGCACGACCAGTTCGCGTAGTGGAACCAGTACCAACTGTGATCGATCAAACGAATTTTTCTCCGACAGTCGTAACAACAAACAAACGAATGCGTATCATGGTCAGCTATTCGCATGTTGATGCTGACTTTTGTCATCAACTGGTAGATGCGCTTGAAAAAGGTATGTTCCAAGGCTGATAATGTATCCTATCCCAGCATCTTTTTCTTTTGTATCAAATACAATAAACGATATGTTAGTACGAAGCGTGATATAGAACTCGAAGGAAGTTTCGCGCATGCTACACAAAGACTAAAACGAGTTTCGGATTCGTTGCAATCTTCGAAACCATTTTTTTTTCAGTCTGCAAAGTATCGATAATAGTTTTCTATCTCTATCATTGACACTCAAAGACAGCTGGTTAGCTAAGCAATCGACTAGAGTTACTGATTAAAGAAACCAATATACTACAAAAAAAAATTCGGTCTAAAAGCTTTCAGAAAATAATGTACATAGTCTATTCCAGAATAGTAATAGCTATATACTTACATTGTATATGATTTTCTCGAGCATTTCATGGTACATCTTTTAATAAAGCAATAAGGAGAAATGGTTGACCTCGTACAAAGAAAAATAGAAAGAAACAATATCACCTTTCAAGCTGAACTTACCAGCAAAGTTTTTAACCCATTGTTGAGTAACATTGCCAACAATGTATTAAGCTTAAATTATTCTTTGAGACGGCTATTCTGCATACAAAAATGTAGAGAGTATAGATAAACTTATATACCTCGTCATTCTATCCTATTTGAAATTTTTGTGTCTATTTTTAGAGAATCGTTTCGATATTTGGGTTGACTTCGATTATTGTCACACGGAAGATCTGTGGGAAGAAATTGGTCAAGCAATCGAAAAATCTGATGTAATACTTCTTCTCATGACAAAGGATTATCAAGACAGTAAATCGTGTCGTCAAGAAGTGATGTACACAAAAGATTCATTGAAGAAACGTTTTATTCCTGTCTATGTAAAACGAGATTTTGTGGCTAGTGGTTGGTTAGGTGTACGCATTGTCGGTCCACAATACATTCGTTTTGGCAAAAAATCTTTTGAAGCAACGGTGAACGATCTCATGAAACTTATTTTTGAAGATAAGAGCGAGAAAAGCTCAAAACACAAAGATTCTAAAGTGTCTGTAACTGTTCCTTCTGTTGAAATCAAGCCTGATGAGAATGACAAGTCGAATGAAGAATTACCAAGATATGATCATGAGAATTTTAATCAATCGAGTAATGAAATAATGCCAGTACTTGTATCCCATCCTAAACTAATTGAAAAATGGAACTCAAACGATATCGCCAATTGGTTCGATGCTAATAAAGTTCGTTGTGAATTAAAAGAAATGTATGATTTTCAATGTGGTACTGAACTACTTCTCTATGGACAGTGTCTTCGATCAGACTGGCAATCTGAATGTCTTGATGTACAGGAACAATTCTCAAAACGATACAATACAGTATTATATCGCAATGAATTCGTTCGACTAGTCAGTGTAATTAATCAACTAGAACAGTTGCAGACAATGCCAGTCTCGAATACATATGGAATTCTATTATTATTATTGTTATTTGTTCTTGTTTTGTTAGATACTTTTAAAATGTTTCAATAAAATAGCCAATTGATCTGTATTTCTTACATAGAAAAAAGGAAATCAATGGTAATAACTAGAGTCACTGTAGGTTACTATCGCGGAGTGCTTGATAGCGACATCACTGGTTTTTTCATGTTTGTCCTATATATATGACTATTGGAAACAAAAATTTCTAATATTTTCTAATTGATATTTAAACTTTTTATTCTATTGATTGGAATCCATACATTACGCTTCATTAATACTTACGTTCATCATTCTGTCAACGGTACATAGTATGCTCTTATGGCTAATTCCATCCAATAAGATACGACATGTATATAGATAGCTAAATGTGGATCTTCTCTTTTCGTAGAATGAATACAACCACACTGACACTCTAATCAGAATTCTGTACTTTTTTTCTTATTCTATATTGATAGATTAAACAAAGTTATGTTATATAAGTGAATAATTTTGAAATCTAGTGTATATGTTAAAAGATTAAGTACGTTGTTTTTTCGGTGATGTAGATCCATATGATTCAGTACCAATTCATCATCATCCAGATTTACTATATTTGAATTAGTTTTCTTTATTATTTTTCAACTGGAACAACGCAACAACAGGAAAATGATCAGAAGAATAATTCCTAGATCGAATATCTACGACAGCTATAAATCGAGGTTGTAAATGTTCACTTCCATCAATCGAATTTCTATATAAAATCCAATCGACATGAAATCGATGTAGAGACCATAGTGAATTTAGTTCTGATATATTTAATGTCTGACGAAATTTCCATAATTCTTTTAAAATATTGATATAAGATGAAAGATGTTTGGGTATTTCATGTGGTAAACTAATACCTGAACCATGAAAAGTAAATAATATTGTTTGTAGAAATTGAAATCCATAAGTATTAATTATTGATCCTAACCAACCATGAAATGTTGACGAAAATGAATTTGATATACACATTGATGTCTGAGATTTGCAAACTACCCAAGTATCATGTAGAAAATCTGAAGATGTCAATATATTATATGCGGCTTGTTTTGGAACAGCATTAAAATCTCCGAATAAAAGAACTACAGCTGTTGGATATTTCTTTTGCCATTTTTTTATTGTTGATCGAACAATTTTTGCCTGTTCTTGACGTGCTTGTTCACTTTTGACATCTAAATGAGTATTAAAAACAAGAATACTAATCGACTTCTCATTTTTTAATTGAAATCGTGCAATATTTAATGTTCGTTCTCCAGCACTATTCCAATCTTTACTTCCAACAATTCGTGGTGTCTTTGATAGCCATATATAATCTTGTTCTATTAATTTTAATATTTGATTATTATATAAAATAGCAACTTGAAAATCTCTTTGAGATGATGGATCTTTAAGATCCCTATCGATACCGCCAGGTTGATAACCAATATGTCGATAATAGTTTGGTAAATGAGATCGCCAATGCAACAATTGACCACCAAATGGTTCTTGTACACATAGAATAGATGGTTGCCATTTTTCAATAGTTTCTGTTAAACGATAGATTCTCTTCGTAAAATGATTATTTGGATCACGTTCTACTCCATCGAGGCGAATGTTAAATGTCATAACAGATAATAAATTCTGTTTGATAGTTAAATATTTTTGCAGCATAATGGAATCATCTTGTTCAGTGTAACGTGGAAAAGTAAATAGAAAAGCAATGAACAAAGGAATTATTATTGAAAATAAAATAAACCATTTTTGTCGCATGATAAAATATACTAATTTTTAGATAGTTTATATACTGCAAAATATTTCATTGAATAAAATAGTAGATTAAATTATTTACAAGTTAAGTTTATTTAAATATTAAGACAGGAGAATACAACGAATAATTAAATTCTCCGTCTAATTATTTATTTCTTTTTGTATTTTCAAAAAACTAAATTTACACCCTTTATTATCTTTCTTCGTCCAGGAAAAACAAACCAAGTATTGTGAATTTAAATATATAAACTAACCCTTTCTTTCTCTCCAATAGAAGACTACCAGATGTTCTATTATGTTCAGTTTCCATTTCTCTGTGATTTGAATTTTGAAAAATCCAAAACAAGTCCACTTCTGATATAGAGTGTGAGTATTCATTCATCGACACACATGTATAACCCAGACATAGACTATAATCCACCACCACACATCAACTTTAAAATTGGGTCGGGAAATTGATTTTATTATCAAAAGTATATACCGTATGGATGGGGAGTGAGTGTGAGTCTGGATGAGACGTCTATCTTCACCTACACCTATACGTGCACCCTCAAGTACGTATTCAGTATGTCTCATAGCCTTTTTGATAGCAAAAACAAATGAAATCGTTCCTTTTATACACAAGGATAGTAAAATTGAAAAAGTATTACTTTTTTTCCTTATTTATTTATTCGGATATAATAAAATAATGTATATTAAGAATCGAATTGATTATCATCTAATTTAATTCGTTTATGATTATTCATGATATGATTTATTTTCTTTCCAATCCATATAATATCACATCTAGCATGTCTTCGAACTATTGAATCAATTGTATTTTGATTAAACCAATCAATGACTTCTTGAGAAAATTTTAAACGTGTTATTTCACATTGTATAACTGAAAGATTTTGACATCGTTCTAAAATGGTTTCAACTTGATCTAATTGATTAATCGGTATTTGTAAACGCTTGATCTGACGTGGAATTATTGAACATATACCATTAAGAAATGGATACAATTCATATGTACTATAACGACTATGTATTATTAAAGATAAAAGTGTATATGCTTGTTCAAGAATAGAAATAATTTCAAATAAAAGATTTTGATTATCTTTATTGAAATAAAAACTTTCTAATTTGACTTCAACTAATTTTGAAATATCAATTATTGAAGTTAAAAATTCTAATGAAGTCAAATGAGTTCGTCTACAAATATCTACATTAAGTTTAGTTACATTAGGAAACATAGTATTAATTCTTGTTGATTCCTATAAATAAATAAATAAATAAATAAATACATTTCAATAAAATTTATCTCATAACAACAAACTTCTTCTTTCATATTTCCATATGTTAATGATTTCCATGGTAAAAAAAGTTCATTAATATTCTTTGTTGTTAATAAATCATAGTTTAATAATATTGTTGAATTAGAAAGATAAATATATTTTGAATCTAATTCATATCGAAGAATAGATTTACAAATTGGTATTGAATAAATTTGAATTCTATATGATTCATTAGAATTAAATTGACAAATTACAAACCATTTTTTATATTCAATCCAAAATGAACTTCGAAATGATTCAATTATTAATTGAAGATCTTCTTGAGTTTGATTAATTGGTTTTGAGATCTCAATAAAAAATTCAAAATTGTTTAAATTAGGAAGATTTACTTGAATAAATTGTTCACATCGTTTACCATCAAATACACATCGTTGACCAATTATTTTTAGATAAATAAGTGATGGCATTAACAATAGAAATGATTCCAATTGATCGATTGTAGCATCAAGATTTTCTATAGTCAATGAAGTTAATTGTGAAAAAGAACATGTTTGCTTCATATTTCCAATTAATATTGGTAAATTTTGTTTTAGAATGAGTGTATGAAGTTGAGGAGAACATGAAAGTATAGTCATTATACTGTGAAAATTAATATTGGAATCTATAATTAAATATTCAATTCTAGAATTGACAGGCCATGATATATTAGATATTCGATCATTTCTTATTTTTAATTCAACTTTTCGAAGATTAGATTGTGCTAAAATTGATGAAAGAAAATTTAATGTTGTTTTTTTTCGTCTATTATCATATTCTTGAATATGTAATGAAAATGAAGTCAAAAGATTTAAATGAATACGTTTTAAAATTATATTCAATTGAAATTCTTCAATACCAAAAAATGTTATTGAATGAAGTCGAGTAAATTGTCGAAGACGAATCAATGAAATAAATAAACCTATTTGATTTGGAGTATATTCATCATTATAAAGTTTTAATGATATAACATTTTGAGGATTAATTAAATGACAACATAGATGAAAATTTGATTTTGATATTGATTTAAAATCAAAAATATATCGATCATAAGTATTGACCATTGCTCGAAATAATCGACATACTGATCGAATTGAAAATAAAATAGTTTGAACATCAAGACTATCAAAAATACGATGAAATATTTCCACGGGTAATGTTTGAATTGATAGATTCATATTATTTGATATGGAAAATAGAAATAATCTTTGTTGGTAGTTTTTGACTTTATTTTTTACTAATGTGAGCAATTGTGAATATTACTCTCAGAATAGTTTCTTTTTACCTATGATAAAATAAAAACAGAACGAAAAAAAAAACAGTATTGTGCTTTTTCTTATTATCACGTGTTACTAATGTTCGAAAGTGAAAAAGGTGTATTGAATGAATCATTAACTTAACATTTAAATGAAGCTCTCGCATTCTTTAAAGAAGTTTTATTATTCAGATGTTTTTTTTCTTTTCGATAATTCTCTGTCAAATATTGACTCTAGAAGAAAGATTTAGTAACTAACAATAAATAACATTTAAAATGAATTTGTTTGATTAGAAAGAAGAAAATTTTCAGTCAATAATTTATTCGATTAATTGTTTTCTTCATCGTTTATTTTAGAAAAACCTGTTTGAGACAAATGATGTGTTTTTATATAGTGGAGGGAGAGGTGTGTGTGTGTGTGTGTGTGTGGAAATCATCTTCATTCACATCATAGTCGCTTTTTCAGAATGAAGTCGGGTCGTTATTGCATAGACGACGCGGTGATGAGTAGTATCCTTTCGAAGAGAGAATTAATTCTATAGAAAAAATTATTTTCGATATGGTTTTTCATTGAGGTCAATTTATACACAAATTACCTCTCGTTCTTTTCAAGCAAATTGTAGCCAATGACAAGTGTGAATGTGGGTCTCGATGTAGCTACAATTCCCTCTTTCTTCACATCCACACCTTCAGAATATAAGGACAAATAGATAAAGGGCGAAAAAATGTATCAGTAGGAACAATATCTATATAAGAAAATATGATAAGGGAATAAGAGGATATCTGTCGAGTTCTGTTTCGAAGTCATGACTGTTCAAGATTTTATTCTATCGAAATTTTTATATTTTGATAGGTATTTTTCGAAGTTTTTTCTTTCGAGATTCGAATCTAGAAAACTTGTGCGCTAGAACATATAGTCGTTAAATAGATTCTATCTTAGTTTTTAAACGTATGGTGCACATTGGTGTTAATTAAAAAAATAAACTCAATCACTTGAGTATCGTTTGAATTGATCGATTGATATTCCTATGCATGATTTAGAATTGGATGCGAATGAAAAGAAGGCCCATCCATCTGCACTTTCACCCACCTCCCCCCTATGTTCAGATATCATCAACCACCAATACAAAAACCAGTCTTTCAATAAAAAAGCTAAAAAATTGGATTGAAAATTCACATATAGGCGCTAACGATCAGTTAAAGTATATCGAGCATTTTTTTAATGTAATCTTGCGAAACAACTAGATACGTTCTTCTTTCGATCAATGAAATATTCAAAAAAAAAAACAATTACAATCCAAACTATCATTATGTATAAGAACTGTATCTTGATAAAAAGATAATTTAACTCGATCTGATATTTTTAATGGACAATTACTTCAAAATCAAACTGAACTTGAAGAAAAAACTCATGAACTTAAGTAAGAAAAAAATCTTTTTTGGTTTTCTTTTTTATTTCATATAATAGATTAGATTCACTTGTACAAAAAGAAAAACAATTACGTTCAACACAAGAAACATGACTTAAAGAAAAGCATACAGTATCAGTACGTTTAACAATATTAGATCAACGATTAATTGAATTAGGACAAAAACCAATAAAATTTCTTATTTGAATTATCACTCTTGGTCACAATTATGAATTGGTTGTTGTCTTTTCTTTTCTTCCCTTTTATTTCATGTTAGCTTTCTGCATCAAGTTCAATTGGAATTGATGATTTATTTCAAACCCGTCAAATAGGTTAGACATTTCTAATTGAAGGAACTAAATATAATCAGTGGTTTGTTACTTAGTTAATGAACAATTATTACAATTACACTATGGATAGAGTTTCATTGTGAACCATTAAGGACTTCAGGTGATATCGAATTTTTGTACACAAGCGTTCCCTGTATCAACAACATAGAGATTACCTTGACTATCAAATACTAAACCATTGACTAATGATAATTTATTAGCTTCTTCTCCGTCACCGATTCCACCTGCAATTATATCACCTTGTGTAGCGCCTTTGAACCAACGCATTACTCGTCCGTTTAAGCAATCAGCCACATAGTGAGTACCTAGTTGATCTACAATAATTTCTTGAAGATAATATAACTGTGAAAGATCATAGCAGCTTTCTGAACCACCAGCAATGACTATGCCTTCGGTTGCATCATCTGTTCATTTCATTACACGATGATTTTTTTCATCCGATACATGTACCGAATAGTCTTGATCAACAAAAACACTATATGGACAATTCAATTGATTGAGATCATCACTTTTTCCATTTCCACCAGCGACTATTGTTCCTTCATTGTCTCCAATATCATATTGCACAACTTCATCGTTTTCATTGTCAGCAACATAGATAGATCCATTTTCATTCATTATCAAACTCTTGCAATAGATGTCTGAGATGATTGTTTCACCTTCTGTATCCGCTCCACAACACTACCGAATCATTCGTCTTTTATTGTCATCGCAGATAATTAAATTATTCGCCTTTTTGTCGATGATCATATCTGTTGAACCATTCAATTTGTCGTTCCTAAGCATGAAGTCGTCTTAGGCAGTTTGATTATCATCAACCAATAGACCGCAAGGGCCCAATAATTGATTTACATCATCACCATTACCATGTCCTCCCGCATCAGTCACAGCATCCTTTATTCATTTGGCATCATAACTAAGAACAGTAGAATGTGGTGGTACTAAAAAAAAAGATTTGACTAGCAATTCAATTGGTTTAAATGAATATTCATGAAACTAAAACGAGCCTTTCACTAATATTGAGTAGAACTCAATAGAACAAGCAAAGATCATCAGTTTTCATTAGAAAGAAAACTAATCAAGTCTCACTCAATAATTTGTAAAATATCTCAAAAATACAGAAGCAAATATTTGTAGAATACGATGTTAAATGAGTGTTGAAGTATACAGTGAGAAAGTTAGATCTACTACTTTTTCCCTGTCATCCTTACACACCATGAAGATGACCAGAAAGTAAAATCTCCTGGACGCCACAATTCATGACAGATAGTTAGAATGACTACAGCTCTCAAGGATCATAACGACTGATGTGGCTGGCATTCTTCTTAATGAGTGGAACAGATTCGTCATGTTCCACATTTTAATCTCGGAAGGATGCGTGTAGATGACGACTAGATGAACCCTTCCTACTCACACCTGCACCCCCATCCCATACCCACACCCTCTGCACTTCTGAAGTATTGAAGTACGCTTTTCCACCCACCTTGGCATGTGTGGATGTGCTGTTAGAGTGGGCAGAGAGAAGACTCACATCAGAATTTTAGTCAGTGTCGGAAGGGCTTTTATATCCGATTAATATGGCTCCATCGTGTTTCGTATTTTAATACTGTACCGATTATACTAAAACCTTGTTTTCACTAATGTCTTTCGGTTAAATAGCCGATCAAATCATTTGGGTATGATTGACTCCTACTTTTCTGACATCCTTAGGATGACATTCATCAAACTCAGGTCGAAATTTGTCAACATCTAAACGAAGTAGAATGCATGAGAAAACTTGACGTTTGTGTCGCTCAACAGATAAATACTTTTTAAAAATGTGGGCACTGCGTTGTAAGCTAACAATAATATTCTTTCAGCTAGTAAACTTCATTTTCTTTAGTTTCGTATTCGAGCCTTCTTATGTTTCGATTGTTTCATTGTTGACTATGCTTTTGAGTGATTGAAGCATCGGTACATTATTTTAGTAGATAATGCTCTGTTTTTAGTGAAGAAAATGTGTTTCTTGCTTATTTGAAGGCGACGACAGTTTCATGCTAGTACGCAAGTCTTGTGTTTAATATAAAGAGCAAATGTCATATTTATGTCTATCTTCAGCAAAGAACGAAAAAAAAGTGAAATATTCGTCGACTCATAAGTTTTCGCGGATTCAACTTGCAAGATAATGATAACAATACTTTTATCGCGTCACAAGAAGAGTATATAGGTGGACAAACTAACACCAAAATGAAGAACTACAGCGAGAAAGAGAGGGTCTTTTAATTTTCGTTTTATAGGGCTCAAAAGAAACGTCTGCTCGAATTATGGTCTAATACAGCATAGTAGACGACCCAATATCACGTAAGGTTATAGCATTGCAAGAAAATATGAGCTGAATGTATTCAACAATCCCAAAGAGTATTATCAGGCGGAAACCTCCAGAGAAGCCAATTTCTTTTCTTAAGCAAAACTAAATTTATTCAATGAGTTCTGATGCGTTACAATGAATTCTTCTGCTCGATCTTCGCTGCTGAGACACTTAAGCTTTATGGCAGTTTCAAGCTGTGTCTGAGATTGGCCTGAATGTTTGATAGAAAACTACTGCGAACTAGTGATGTCTCAAAACAGAGGACCTTGAAAAATACAGCATTCTACGACTCATATTGCTTACTGAAACTCTTAAATTAGTACAGTCTCCGTACTCTTAAAAAATCGTTTTAATAGCAAACTTTTGTAAGTTCGACAAGGACTGTAATACCTAAAATGGTTCTTCGCGTGGATACACTCTCGGCACCTTTGCTACGAAACCTTACTGAGATTCTTAGGACGAAAAAAGATTCGGTATTAAAAATACAAAACCAATGAAGTATGATACAAAACCTATCATGTTTTATTTTAAACATGAATGATTGTGTATCGAACCTGAATGGTTTGATATTTTCCACATCAGACACTTTTTAGTTCTATGAATCTCAAATGTTCTGTAGTAAAAGTTTTGAGAGTGCATTCGCGCCAAGATTCACTATAGGTTTCTCAGTTTCTGCCGAAGTTAAGAAAGGTTCCGTATAAAAGCTATGTTTGTTTAGAGTATACTCAGAAATGATTCCACACTTCGGCAGGTTCCATTTTCAACCCTTGTGACTGTGACGCAATGATTTCTAGCTGTTGTGATCGAATACAGTGCTGCGTCCGTGGAGTACGTGTCAGGATATGGTGTTGGAGTAAGTGAAGCGAAGACCGAAAACCAGACTCACATACTCATCCACGTCCACAACAACACCCACGCCCACATCCTCGAAAATTTTGTTGTATAAAACCGACATTGAAAAAGAATTCTGAATCCTGCCTATTTTCCAATCGTTACAAATTGTTTTTATTCTAGATCGACTTCAGACACTTGATTCATGAATACTGAAGATATTGTTACTCATGTTCCATTTGAAACGCGTGTTCATCAACAATGCCTTCGTCTTTCCGATCTTCCACTATTGTCATCGATAGTCAAAACAGTGCAAAACGAGAAACCACTGGAAAACTATACAATTTGGAATATTCAACATGAATTAGGTAACGTAACTGCCCAAATCGAAGCTCTTCTGCTTCTGGGCGCATCGCCTTCGAATCTATATTTTCTTCCACCGCCATACACGCATCATAAAGGCTTTGAACAATTCGTTATAGAACATTTTCGAGTCCCAAAGGAAAACTTCTTTCATGCAGCACCATACTGTTTAATGTACAACTACGAAAAGTATCGTTTGGTACAAGTTTTATTTGAATTGAATCGATTGATAACGATAGAACTTACGAAACAAAAAGTAGCATCCATGAAATTACTCGTATTAGATAGTGGAGCTTGTTTTTCTGAAGCATTGGCCAATCTCTATGAGATTGATGACGGCAAATTAGATCCAAATCAGCTCGTTGAAAATCTTCCAGCAACATTGAAAATTGAAAGATCTGATGCATCATTGCTTCTATCACATTTGGAATCGATCGAAATTCATCTTGTCGAACAAACTTCACGTGGTCTCTTCAAGTATGTCGATCAGCCGAACATTGAACAAGCACTGAATCGAATCGGAACATCGATCATTGACGTGGCTTCCAGTGAGCCCAAACGACGACTAGAACCATTGTTGATTGCTGAAGCTTGTCTAAACATGTTATCTTATTTATTTTACGATGCTCCAAAGTCACTGCGAATTCCAAAACCATCACAATCACAAAAATGTCTATTGCTTGGCTATGGTGCTATTGGACAAGCAATCGGTCATGCTTTAATCCGTCCTGGTGACTTGGACATCTTTTCCAAAGGTTCAGTTAAAGTCTGGGATCGAGATGCTTCTAGACGTCAATTAGCACAAGACGAAGGTTTGGAAATATTCGATAATTGGGGTAGCAAAGAAGAATTCGATTATGTGATTGGTTGCACGGGTCGTTGCTCATTACCAATGTCGTCTTTCTCATTACTACGTGATAATGCCTACTTGATAAGCGTATCATCTGGAGCCATCGAATTTCCATTTCACGAAATGGTTCAACGTGCATTGTCCGACACTGAAATCGACCTATCCAGTGCTCAAATCAATGAGTTTACAAGTGAAGATATTCATCGTAATATTGAATTTCGTATTGACAATCGACGAAAGCTGACTGTTGTCAACGGTGGAATGCCTATTACATTTGTAGGAATTCTAAATGCTGCATTACCAGAAAAATTCGATGTCACTGTAAGCTGTATGATAGCAGCAAGCATTCAAGCTGTGCATACAAATCAGCAAACAAGCGATCAAAATCGAATTATACCGCTTGATTCAACATATTCAGCCTTGATTTGTGATTGGTATAAGCCTTGAATCGAAAAACATTCCGATACTAGCAAGTGAATCAGAATGATTATCACACTTATTTTGCATGTAACTTAATTCACAGAGGGATATAATATTGAATTCTTTGTAAACTTTCAAAGAAAGAAATTTTTGTGATTTTGTTATGATGAATTTTTTGATGACTGAAAGTGATGATTTGCATGATTAAAAACATAAGAAAAAAGTTTCAGAAATCGTGAGGTTTTTAGTGGACATGCAGAGATGGGCAAGTCAAATATCTTGAATTCCATGTTTTGATTCTTTACAAAAGACAAATATGGATCTAACTACTAGATTGCATCATTACGAGGGTGTGGATGTGGATGTTGTTAAAGTGATGATTGACACCGACACCATCATTCACACGCATACCCTGTATACAGTTGTCTCATTTCACAATATCCAATAGCTACCAAGAAGTCTATAATCGACGAACGATGCAACAGTCATAATCAATGGTGAATCATATACAAAAATTGTTGAAGATCAAGCATTCACTTCTGAGAATAGAAAATGAAACCGAAGATTACATCGTCTTTAACTTGGTCTTCAAATCGGTGCTATTCATTTCATCCTGTCTCTTTACATACATTATCTTATCAGCATGATAATATCTACCATCAATTCGTTCCGTCAAAAAGTATTTATATGTACTCATAGTACTTGACTTCGAGCATTAATTAAATATCTTGATAAAGTACCATGAAGAATATATATTTTTCCGAATTGAAGAAAAAAAAAGTAAAACTATAATTTTATCTAGAGAAATAAAAGAGCTGTTGTATATATGCCTCCTTGTATAATTAAACCATTCATTTTTTGTTACATATATTAATTCTATAAACGTTGCACTAACAGCTTTTTCTCCCCAACTTGTCAATTTTCGTATTATTTTTCAATCTCAAAAACATGTTTCATGTTATATCATACTAAGACAGTTGAGTTAGAGATATTATTCAAAATAAAATTTATTACTTCTTACAATAGAACTTTTGTTTTTAGAATTTTTCCATAAATCCCATGTCATTACGTGTGATCGTTCTCATATGTAGATAGATTTTGATTTTTTTCAAACAAATACAAAAGAATATTTATTCTCTATTCTAATAGATTCATTCTATAGAAATAAATTTTATTCAAATAAATCCATAATAATTATTAGATATTTTTGCATGAGAAAAATAATGTTTCAAACGTTCAGTTATGTTGAATTCACCAGAAATATATAAACGATTGACTTTATTAGAATTAATTCGTATTGCATTTCTTTTAAAATTGCGTGTAACTTTTTTTAAAGATTTATAATTAAGAGAGAGAAAAACACCATTTTCCAAACATGTTTTGGTATCAAGTAGAAATTCTTCAATATAATCATAATGAGTATCATATAAAATAAGGTTGGTAAGATAAGAATATTCAACGATTGATAGATGTTCGATGTTCTCTTTTGATTTTCTATATTGTTTATTATTTTGTCGTTTCTTATTATATAAATTTAATTTTTCCATCAATGGAAATGATTTTTGAATTCGAAGAAAAAATTCATGTTCAAAAGGATACTCATCATATAATGATACTTGACGAACACATTTAAATAATCCACCTGGAAAATTATTTCCTATACAAGATAAATTTCAAGTGCCCATTGTTATTGTGTTAAATATTCTTAAAAGAAAAAAAAAATCAATAGATTACTGATTATGAAACTAATTGAAACAAAGAAATGAAATGCAAGATGAATGGTATTTTTATTTATATTTACTTGATTCTCCATCCTTTATATACATCTGCTATACTGAACGATTTTCGTCTTTCTCAGCGATGTTCGCAATATAGAGATTTTACTTGAATTCACAAATACACTAGATTTTAAATTAAATTTTTATATCTTTAATTCAAAAAAAAATTATTAAAAGATTCTTTTCTATTGAATTATATTTATCAACGAAAATTGTTTATTAAAATATTATATACTGAATAAAAATTTAAGGAATAGGTGCAATTTTTCCAAGTCCAGTTGAAATAGCTGTACTTGGTTTTTTTCCAAAAGGTAATCGATAATAAACACTTGAAACACCAGTTACTTCAATTTCAACATCATCTGTAGCTGCCACTCGTATTATACTTATTCCCATTGCTCGTACTTTAACTTGTTTAGTTATTAAATCTAATGCAGTAATATCACCGATTCCTGTAGCATCGAATATTGCTTGTTGTCGAACTTGTCCTGAGAAACGACTATTGCCAGTTCCAGTAAAATAAACTTCAAGTTTATTAACATTTAATTGAATAGCAACATTAGCTGTACCTCGATTATCCAATACAAATGTATCATTGCCATCATTTGATATTCCATTATCATCTGTTATTGTATTACCAGAACCTCTAATGGTATAACGACGTAATGGAGAATTAAATCGAATATAAGCATAGATATTATTATCAACCTTTAATGGACCTTTAATATGAATTGACAGAATATGATTATCAACAATTTCAACAATAACATGATTTTGAGCATCAACAGTTGTTTCAATTTCAACAGTTGGAGTAGAAATTCCATTTGATGTTTGACTTAAGAAAATATCAAAAGCGCCATCGACTATAATTTCATCAAATGATGATGATAGAGAACGAGTTTGACGAATGATGGTGTTATTTATTTGTCCTTGAACCAAAGAAAAATAAACAACAATAATAAAAATGCAAGATAGCATCGAAATCGACGCACAATTCTTGAAAAATCTATAGAATGATAAAATAAATTACTGAAGTTTCATTTATCGACATTTTTATTATTTAGTTTTTCTGTCGAATAAACTAATGTAACATACCTTTTGACGAAGAAAAGAGACAACAGTAGACTTATGAAATTTTTCTCAATCTATCATAGACTAGTCGTAACAGCTAGCGTATTCAGAATTAAACTAGTAGTTTATTTATTATGATAAAATTCTCATTTATATACTCAATTGTTATGTATTCATCACTCGTCTCAACTACAATGTAGTTCTTATTTTGTATATGTCGTATGTGCTTAAGTGAAATAATAAAAGAGGGATTGTATAATGTTCTTTTGTATATATGTATGTATGTATGTGTAGGTGTATGTTGAAACAAAAAGGAATAGTTTTATCATTAGTTTGAATCATAGATAAGACCTTAATCCTCTTTTACCACAGTACCTTGCTTTAATTTTTACAAAAAAAATCAATGATAGAAGCAATGGTTGACAAAATAAACTTTTTTTAAATGTTCGATTCAAACATTACAAGAAAAAGGAAGAAAATTATTCAATTTCCTTTTGTTTAAGAATGTATATCACATTGTTCTTTATATACATTATATGATTGATTGATCAATCACATAAAATATTTTGTAGTTCTTCGTTAATCGATCATGGAAGAGTCATATATCCTATACTTTTTAAAAATTTATTTATGTGAATATCCGTCCAATTCTGACCTTTTTCTTCCTATTTGCCTGTACGTATCAGTGCGCACTATTATTTATTATGAACTAAAATAAAATCAATGACGTCAATAATCCAAAATCTTCAGCTTGTCGTCTTTTGTCGTGAAAATGTTCTATCGATGATTAATACTTAGCTTATCTGAAATGATTTTGATCAACTTGAATTAATGTAGGATGATCAAAATGGGTGCTATTTATAATTATAGATTATTTTATTTTTTTTAATTATAGTATATTATGTCTATGTGGCTTATATTTCAGGCTATTTTGCATTTCTTTGATCTTTTTTTCGTATTTAATTGAATTCACTAGAGAAAAAAATAATAGTGTACTCAGGTCAAACAAGCACGGTCTTAAATGACTGTATATGGAGAAATACCACGATTTACATGGTCCAGTATTATGATCGTTTACGATCCTCGTATACGAACCCGTATTCATCGACCTGAGTGCACAAAATATTGTTTCAATTGACGCAATGTGTTTTCACACGGGTAAGAATTATTTGAAAAAAGTTCTTATTTCAATAATAATCTCTCATTGTAACAGAGCTTGATGTTAAATTATAGATAAAGAATAAAGCAGTGTATCATCAATGATGAATTGAAAATAAAATGTGCAACATGAATTCAATTTATTACAATTGTATTGATCAACTTAACTTCTTTCACCTAATCATATAATTTACCACTATATGTGATCAATTGTAAAGTTGTTGCAAATAGAAAAAACAACATCGTAATAATAAGCGATCGAACTATCATGATGCAGTGTGTCGAGATCATTGAGACTTAGCAAAGCCAATAATACTTTTTTTCTCCGAAAAAAAAATCGAAATCATATTTATAATAAACCATGAGTTTAGATATAACGATGCATAGTACATATGTAAACGAAGTTCAAAACTTTTGTGATGTTGTACGAGAGTGATTCCATGATATATGTGACACGTTGTACATGACTTCGTTCAAATCGATTTTCATGTTTCAAACCGTGTAGAGCATAGTCAATTTACTTACTATGATTACAACAATTCACAGAAATATAGCGAAATATGTCTAACACTACGTAAAAATACTGTAAAAGAGGTTAAAATGTCCATCATCATACGTTGCTAACGCAGAATTTGGGCACATAGCTACGTAGCAGATTTTGTAAAACAAAATTCGCTTTACATGTCTATATATGGTACTTATCGCGGGCGTATCAAATAGATAGTCATTTTAGCACGGAAAGATTATCATAAATAATCAGATTATAAGTATATATGGCATTGACTATATTTTGCTTTAATTTTGTGAATCGTCGATCCCTTCAACATAAGAATTTATAGTCGATCGTTTGTTATCATAGTAAGTAAAACAACAATATTCTACATGATTTGAAACGTAAAAATCAATTTGGAGGAACTCAATGTAAACATGTCACATCTACCATGAAATCGCCCACAATATAGTATACCATAAATGAATAGCACACATGTGAAATAGGGAAATTATTTAGTTGTAACTTTCGTCTTCTTCGCAAGAAAATGAAATAATGACATAAATAATTTTATTGAGAATCATGGACTATTTGTTAATCTTTCATACTAGATTAAGCAAAAATTTTTGATAACATTATCATTTACTCTTATATATTGACTATAAACCTGCGACTTATCTTAACTATAAGAATGAGGATGACAACGGTGTTGAATAACAGTGATATGGAAAAATGATATTTATAAACAAAGATGTGCACTGCCAAGTCAGCGATGTTAGGACTTTTTTTAGGATCAGGAGGATCAGCTAAAACCTATCCGACAAAAACCTTTTTTTCACCCAAAAACAAGTGTTAAATCCAATATTCAGCAAAATTTTAATACAATAATAAAGAAACATTTGACATAAGACTTACAACAACCAGAATCAGTAGTATAAGATTCAATATATATTACCTCTTCTTTTTACTATGTAATATCATACATCTATTTGTCAATAAAACATCTATTATATTTTTAAACGGATCTATATATATGTGAGACTTTCGTTTGAGGACGTATAGTAGAACTAGTGAATTTAGTCTGCTAAAGAATTAAAGAGCTCATATAAACTGCCTACCTTCCTTTTCCGTCTTAATATTTACTGCCATTGCGAAATTACTGTGTATGAAATGTTTTATTTTGAAAAGAATAAAACACAAGAATAGCCAATAACCAAAAATATAATAATAAAGAAGATGAATGAAGAGGGAAAAGATGGGCGAAATACGAAAGACAAAAACAACAAAATAAGATCAAAACAAGATACATTAAAGAGGGGAGAAGAAAACCAATAACAACCGGTGAGCAGAGTTAGCGTCATAGAGTGACATCTGTCGACGCTAACACCGCCCCCTTTCGGCTAGAAAGAACTGACCAAGGCTACTGCTCACCCTATTGGTTAAGTTGCAATAACAATCATCTAGACCTTTCGGATGAACAGATATAAGGTATGACATACATACAAACAACAATAACAAAAAACATGATGAATATAAGAAAAGAAAAAATAAACAAACAAACAAATGATGAACGTTTAAAAAACGGATGCTTATTATCAATGAATACCAAGCCATTCTGTATAGCTGTTTTTTCCACAAACATTTGTGGATAAGCGTTTAGTTTTTTTCCTCTTTTTATATACGAAAACGTCCCATAAAGTAGATTTAACTTTATTATTTTTATACCATTGAGGAATGTCAAATCGTAATAAATAAGAGATAAAATCTAATAGATGACCATCAGGAATATAGATCATACCGGAACGATGTCCAATTCCTCGAGCCCATTTTTTGATATCACCTATGCTATCCTTTAGTGTCTTAGGATTTTTTATTAAATGTTCTACGATCGCATTACGAAGATCATTGATTGCTTGATCAAATACAACCGTAGAATAAGCAGTAATGACAACCATTGATTTCTCGTCTGATATCTCACCAACCGTATTGTTGACACCAAAATCAATAATAGAGTTTGATTGGGATACTAATATTTAACGTTCAAAACATATCGTATCTGGATTATCGGTACATTTTTCTTTTAGATTATTAGCTGATGCATTTTGATATAGAAGTTCTCCGTTAGACAAATTATTCATAATCTTTTGATGAGATTTCGATTCAGATGAAAAAGAATCATTTATATCAAATTCTGATAATAAAAATTCATAAAAATCATCAAAAGATTGAATTTCTTTTCGACTTGCGTTGTATTTACATTTAGTATCACCCTCGATTAAATGCGAGATAACTTCAAGGCGCAATTTTCGTGACATTGCTAACTGATTAA